TTATAACGCTTGCGCGGTACACCGCCCGCCCACCGCCCACCATCCGCACCGGCAAAAGCTCGGCCAGCTACGCATGCGGTAGTATCCACACCGCACCGATCACATGCGTGATCCCACGCATGGGATTTCACATGTGAACGTGGTTCGAGCGAGGAACTGGACGGAGGGATATCTGGGGGACGGTACCGTTGGGGGTAGCATAGAGATAGAGGGGGTGTGGCGGCGCCGCAGTTCAAACGTCGGGCCTGGATGAAGCCCAGTTTGCCGCCACCTTCAAGGTGTGCGATCCGCATCAGCGGCAAGAAGGTGCCGTTCTGGAACTCCTGGGTCGCGCATGTAGTTGCCCTGGTCTTGTCAGCCTGGGAGGAGGGGGGGAGTAACGCGATTGCGATGATATGGGTGGTACATCTGTATCACCCCACCCCCTCTCCAGGATTGAAGAGGGGGGGAGGAGGAGGCGGAGGAGGAGGTGGAGGAGGAGGAGGGGGATGGGGATGAGGTAGATGAGGTGGATGAGGAGGATGAGGAGGAGGAGGAGGAGGAGTAAGATGCGGGTGCGGGGATACGGAGGGGTGGGCTGAGGAGGATGTTTGCCCTGTGACAGCCTCTGCCTTTTTGAACTCGAGTTGAGCCCACGTTGCACGAAACTCTTGTTTTCTGCTGCGGACTCTCTCCCCTGATATCGCATCATATTTCTGGTTTAACGATGGGTCTTCCTCGCACGCTCTTTCCCAGCGGCCAGCGACAGCACTCTTTTTCGAATCCGTTGGCACATCCCACCCCCCTGAAGCGATGTCCTGCCAGAATTTGAACTCTGACTCGATGTCAAGTTTGCCTGGCTTCCTGCGCTTGATAGATTTACCGTCGTCCCCAGGCTCAACCGTGGATTTGTTATCATCTGATTTGTTGCCGTCGGCAAGGATGCTGATGCCCCACTTGGATGGGTCCCTGAGGTGCCCATCTTTGTCTATATCTCCCGCTAATGATTGCATTTCCGTCTCGAGGTCACTGTGGCCCTTCTGGCCGAGCATGTCTCTGAACTCACTCGAGTCGAAAATCTCAGTCAGCCGCTCCATCACCAGCACTTCGTTGGGGTCGGCCGAGTTGCGGCCGTTGGGGAGCAGCTCCTGGGGCAGCGGTGTCAGGCAAACTAGACATCGAGGGCGTGGGTTGCCATATTGGCCCTCCCCCGCCTGGACCCTTGAGGTGGTCGCGCATTGATCGGGGATTCGGACGACGAGGGATGGGGCTCGAATGCGGTTGCGTCTCAAACCTAGGGCTTCCAAACCAGGGCCTCCAACGGGGGGGGCAGCGGTGCAATGCGACCCAGAGCTCACTCGGCACACCAGCAGCTAGACAAGCAATCCCGACTCAACAGACAGGGGGGCATGTTGATATCTGAAATCCCGTGTGACATCACACGCGTGGGAACACACATGTGATGCCAACAGGCTTCTCCGAAGTCGTTAGTCCAGGTTCCAGAACCACCTGGGGTGTTACTGCTTCGACTGCTGCTGCTGCTGCTCCTCCTCTTCCTCCCCGTCCACCCCTCACCCACCCACCTGGTCATACTCCTCCTCCTCCGCCTCACCTTCCTCATCATCATCATCATCATCAGCATCATCATCATCATTATCATCCAAGTCGTTATCCTCGCCACCCGTCTCGCTCCTCGCCCTCCTCCTCCCCCATGTCACCCTCCGCGTACTCCTCATCCCACCTCCATTAGCTTTCGGTTTTCCCTGACCCGTGGGACGCTGGACGTGCGTACCAGCGCAGTCGCACGCGGTCCCTTCCTCAGAAGGGATCGTCATCGACAGTCTCGTCGAAGAACTGGCACTGGCCCTTCTTGTGGTCGTGCGGCACGTCCTTGGTCTCCATGATGGCCTGCTCGACAATGGCGACGCCGCGCTTGTCGGCCTTCTGGGAGTCCGTGGAGTGCTCGCTGGCGCCCTTGGACTTCGGCACGCGGTGCAGGTCATTGCCCTCGGACGTCGTCTTGGCCTCGGGCATCTTCTTGGCCTCGTCCACAGGCGGATCCCCCTCATCCTGCGAATGTTGCTCCGCCTTCCGCTGCTTGGACGATGGCTTGTCGAGTGTCGCAGCTGCTGGCCTCTTGCTCGCGGCAGCCTTTGCGGATGTGGCCACCGCTGGCTTCTTGTCGGCGACATCCGTGGGCTCGGCAGGGTCCTCGTCTTGGCCAGCTGCGTCTTCAGGCTCACCTTCGTCATCGTCCTCCTCGTCATCGGAGTCGAGCTCGCCCTCTGAGTCGAGCTCGTCATCCTCGGCATCCTCGTCCTCGTCATCCGACTCGTCGTCAGACGATTTCTTCTTCCTGCGCTTCATCGGGGGACGCTTCGCAGCTGCTGGCCTCTTGAGCACGGACTTGGCCTTGGCTTTGCCCTTCGCTTTGCCTTTGGCTTTGCCCGTCGTCACGGGCGTCTGCGCTGGCGGCTCGGTGTCACCAAGGTCCTTTGCAGCAGTCACGGCATGTCTCCGA